AAGTCACTTAAGAGTAATGTGTGTCTTTCTTAAGCTTCTATTATTCATACACACACACACACACACACAAATTATAGTTTGATTTGTTTTGCTTTTGCATAAAAGATATTGTACTGTGTGTGTTGTTATGCAACTTCTAATGATACTACATGTTTTGGAGCTCTTTCATGTCAGTATAATACATAATACAGTCCAATCCACTCTTTTAAACTGAATACTGTAGTATTTAGTAATTTGAATGTATCAAAGTTTTAAAAATTTCTAACCTATTGGTGGATATTTAGGTTGATTTCAATTTATCTTTCTCTAAACAATAATACAATAAAAAATCTTTATCATGCCTCTTTATATGTTTAAGTATTTCTCTAGGGTCAATACTAGAAACTGGAATTCCAGAGTAGAAAAGTATGTGCATTTAGATTTCTAATAGATACTTCCAAATTGTTCTCTTCTAACACTTTTATAGTTTTTTTTCTTTAAGTCTTTTTAATCAATTTGGAACTTATTTGGGGGTAAAGAATCAGGAAGTATTGACATTTTTTCTTCATATAAATGACTATCCAGTTGTTCCAAAACCATTTCCTGACTAACCCATCTTTTCCCAGTGGATTTGAAATGGTGCCTTTATCATATATTAAATTCCCACGTATGCTGGAGTTTAGTTTTGGATTATCTATTCTGTTCTACTGGTATGTTTATTCCTGTATCAGTTCCTTATGTTTTAGCTACCTTAGCTCTATAGGGCAAGCCTTCCATCATTACTCTTCTTTCTTATGTTTTTCTTCATATTCTGTGTTTTTCTGGGATAATATGTAAATTATTTTTTAAAAGGAGTAAAATGTAGAAAGGTTATAAAGAAATACGTCTTTCCGTGTTTACATTGTTCAACACCCCTCCATCCTTTTAGGTTGTCATATATAAAAATGCACACAGAGAGACTAATTTTATATTTTATGGGCTTGAAGCTAAATGTCAGTCACAGGACACGATGATCAAGGGGTATAAAGTAATGGGGGTGGGGGGGGAAAGTCGTAAAAGGGGAGTAACTACGGTGCGCAGTATTGCCAAGTAGAAAGAGACCTTGGGAGCAGCTAATTGCTAAATAAATAGAACCCAGGGGAAAAGAAACCCCCTGAAAGCCCAAACTGGATTGGGAGAATTTTAAGCCAGAAACTAAGAGGTTAAATCTGAATGCCCAGAAAACAAAGGAAGGTTGAGTGCTGGAGTAAAACGTCAGTCAGCCAGCCTGCGAGTGAAAAAGAGAGACTGCTTCTAAAAACCTCATCAGTGTATTAAACTCAGGTCAAAGGAACTTGAATCCTGAGACTGTGCTCTGCAGTTTATCTATCTTATACCCAATCTTTCATCACACTGAACTAAAACTATTTTTCTATCCCTCAATTACACACCTAACGTGTGTGGCTATAGATGACCTTCTTGTTGGATGTCTGGCAAGGTGCTGAGAGGAAAGGTAATGGTCTTAATAAAGGTCTTTAAAGTGTTAACTCCTGCTGTCTTGAGGCCACTCATGGTAAGTGTTGTTTACAATGTATGAAGGGGTCAGGAGTAGCACTTAAAGTGGGGCACATTAAGAAGGTCAGGCCCCCAAACCTGGCTGCCAGATGTCCCTGGTCACGGTGGCATGGTCGGAGGGGCTGCTTTGGCAGCCCCTGTAGTAGAAATCTTCTGGAGATGCCCATCTGGGTGCCTGAGGCAGAGTCCCAGTGGGTAGAGGCCACAGGATGTCCCCTTGGATACTGCCAGATTCTCTGGTTGCTGGGCACCGTGCCTGGCAGGCAAAGCAGTTACCATGACAACCACTCCCCCCCCACACGTCTGCGATTTGGGGTATTTCTCCTTTCCCATTAAGTGCCAACGTATTCCAGGGTTCCAGAGACAGGCAAACATAGCTCTCAGGACAGAATGTCCTCTGCTCCAGGAAGTGGGTGAGGGAAGGAAAGTGGAGATGTGTATATGTTATGACTGAATGAAGCTTCATCAGTATAAATGCATATGTACCTGCTTCTGTGTTAAAATGTGTTGTATATCAATGTATGTACCATGCAAATGGTCAGATCACCATTTATCTGCCCATTTGCTTTCCTGCTTCCCTCCCCTCTCTGCTGTCCCTGTGTTGGGAGAGTCACCCCTGCCCTTTGCTGAGGGGAAATGCTGAGTCATATGGCTCCAGCTGGGTTTCTGTCTCCTATCCTCCATCTCCCATTCTTTCCTCAGTCCATCCTCCCTCATCCCTGCTGGACCCTCTCTAAAGCTCTGGGCCCTCTTCACCACCTCCCTCCTAGGCCTGGACTCACTTTCCCAGAGGTTCACTTCTGGACAATAAAGAGAAGGCACTGCACTCTGTTTTTGCATTTACTCCCTTCTCACTTTGCCTTCTCAGAGGACTGTTCTGAGTCCTCCTCCTTATGACTGCCTTCTCCCTGATAAAACAGGAGTCTGACCAAGTTTGACCCAGGAGGCTAATTCTTCCATGTATTCATGCTGATCCTCCTCCTTAGTCCCTCACCCCCTAATCGGATTACGGCAGTGTTTCATGCCTTGGGCCATGGCAAGGAAAGTGCGATTTAATTTGTCATCACGCACTGAGGCTTTTTTCTCATTCTAGCTCTCCAAGTGCCAGAGCACAGGTTCTTGGAGGCGCGCGCGCGTATGTGTGTGTGTGTGTGTGTGCGCGTGCGCGAGAGCAGTAGCAGAAGGGTGTTGAGTATATGCATTCAGGGGCAGAATCTAGAGGCCCCTCCCTCCAAGGGCAGGATGTTTGGGGGTCTCTGTAGGTTCTCGGGTCTCTTTCCCATCCCCATTAGGCTCTTCTTAACACAGAAATCCCAATCAAATAGTCTCGCTAACTAGTTCCAAATAAGGCGGACCAGGATTGCTCTCCCCCCCCAACCGCCCCGCCAGAGGTGAGAGAGTGGAAAGGTGGCCCCGCCCGCTCAGTCTGGTTACTATGGCGACAGCCTCGGGGTGACCCGAGTGCTCCGCCCTCTCTCCTCCCAAACCTAGAAAAATGACGGCACCGCGCTGACTGCGCCAAATTCCAGCCAATGGGCGGCTGCTCCCGCCTTCCCTTCCGCCAGCTCTCCCCACCTCCCCCCGGGAACTCGATTCACAAATCTGGACTGGGGATTTCCGGCTCGAGGCCGCGGGGGGGGGGGGGAAAGGGCGCTGGGCCGAGGCCGAGGGAAAGTCGAGGTCTGTCCTCCTAGGAGGGCAAGTGGAAGCCGGCATTCCTGGGTTCTTGGCCCAGACTCCCGTAACCTGCCACCAGAAATGGATCACACCCTACTCCCAAATTATCCGGAAAACCTAATTGAGGCCGAGTCTGCAAATCCTCCTGCCCCTGCAAGCCCTCACCCAGCCCGAGCGCGCCCGTCAGTACCACGGACAGCGAACCAGGACCTTTTCTTGGCGGGTCGCGCCCGCTTCTCTCTCCGAATCCTTCTGAGGTCTCCGTGGAGACCAGGGTCAGAGACGCCAGCGCTCCAATGGAGCCAGGCCTCCTTGGGCCAATGAAATAGTGAATGGGGCGCTTAGCTATGTGGTTAAGAAGGCAATGGGGACCAAAGAGGAATTTCAGGCCAAATAGCTTATTTTTCTTCTTTCAACCCCAAAGAATGGCTCCTGTCTTCCAGGCTGCCTGTGTACTAGCCTCCCTGGGGATAAAGGGCCAGGGCTGAATCTCAAACAGGGTTGGACCTCCCAAAGCTGCCCTGGGTGGGCGTGTAACTGAAACAGCCTTGAAGCAGCCCTATGGGTGGGCAGAAGCGTATGGGGCTAAGTGTGGCATTCAGGCCCCACCTGAGAGTGGTGAAGACAGATTTAGGCCTGACTGGACTCTTGACAGGATGAATGGCAGGGAGAGATGGAGAAGGAAGAGAAAAGCAGCAACAACAAGTAGTTGGTGCTGCCTCAATGAGCCACTCTGTAAAAGGGGAACAACTTCTGACGTCCTCATCACTTATTCCCTAAATGGCCTGGGTATTAATGAGTAGGTAGGTCAGAAAAGATGAAGGCGGGGGTGGTGGGGGCAGGGGAGCAGGAATTCAGCTTCACCACCAGGCCCCATTCTGTGGCTCCCTCACTTTACTCTGTAAAATGGAAGCCATTGGGGGGAGGGGGAAGGAAGACAGTAGCAGTTCTCAGGGACTCGACCTTCCGCACTAGGCCCATGGGGGCCCTCCTGCCCTGCCTGTGACAGTTCCACTCCCGCTCCCTCCCTCCCAGGGCCCAAAAAAAGGCTGGCGCAAAAACATCTGCAGGCGCTTCCAGCGCTTTATAGTTCTCTCCCGGACAGAAGGACAGACAGACAATGCGGCCCGCACCGTCGGCCCGCATCATTGGCACCTTGGACACGGCACCAGGCCCAACCCAGTCCCTGGTACCCTCCCGGGAGAATTCTGGTCCGGCCTCAGATCAGCACCTCAGACAGCTCCCGGCCCAACCCACCCCTCCCCCCTCCCTCCGGAAACAATCAAATAAATTAAAAGGAGTGGGGGTGGAGGGGGAAACAAAAACACCTAAGGATAAGGAAGAGGGGTGCCCCTCCCTCAGAGTAAGAAGAGTTTTCTGTCTCCTCCCACCCTTCGGCTGAGGCGCCGCCGCCGCCGCCGCCAGGGTGACCTCCTAGGTTCATTTTCTCCCCAAACCTCAGTCTCCTGAAGCTGGCATCCCCTCCCACTATCTCCCGGCATGCAACACGTTGGAAAAGGTGGGGAGAGGTGGTTGGGGGTGGGGCGAAGGACCATCCTGGTGGTTGTCTGGGCTCCTGGGGCTGCAGTTTCTCGCAGTACCTCAGCCGATCCAAATTAAGAACTAATATTCCCTTTGGTCTGGGGAAGAGAGTACGGGGGCTCAGTTGGGGTAAGAAATGCAAGCTAACACAGGCGGAGGGGGGAAGGCAGACAGGAGGGAAGATGGTGACACATGCCAGGAGCGAGGAAAAAGAAAAGAAGGGGAGATGGGGACACAGGTGCAGAAAGATAAACGGGGCAATGAGAGATAGGTAGGGGGTAAGATGGAGACGGAAATACACACCCAAAGAATGGAAAATGGAAAGGCAAGGAGGAAGTTGGGAAGGCAGAAGATGAAGGAAGGAGGGAAGGTGAAAATACAGGAAGGAGATGAAGAAATGGACAAATCCGAGGGAGATGAACTTACAGACACACAGAGAAGGGAAGGGGGAGACCCGGGTAGAATTGGAGACATGGGGGCGCAGACAGAAAGGGTGAGGTTGGGGGTTCCCTCCCGCGCTCATCCCCCACCCCCACCCTGCGCCCAGTAAATCCAGACGCCGCGGCCTCTGGCATCCTGGCCTCCACCTTCCCCTGCGGGACAGGGGCGGCTCCTCCTCCGGCCACGGCGCGGAGCGGCGGTAACAGCGGCGGCGTCTTGATGGTCCCGGGGGCTCCGAGTGTGTGTCAGGGGTTGGGGTGGGGGGTGGGCGCGGCCCTTGGGTATCCCTAGCGGTCCAGGTTCATAGTCCAGTGCTTGGCTCCAGTCGCGCAGCTGTCCCTGGCGGCCGAGGAGGAGGAGGCCGCGGGCGCTCCCCCGCTGGGAGGACCCCCGGCGCCGGCAGCGGCTTCGCCCTCGTTCTTGAGGTCTTGGAAGACCTGCGTGAAGAAGTGGGGGTCGGCGTTGAGCCGCAGCATCTGCGGACTGAGCCGCTGGATGAGGCGCAGGCAGCGTTGCCAGAAGCGCTCCTTGTCGGGCTCCACAAGGAAGGGCTTGAGCGGGTAGGAGATCTCGTTGCCCATGTAGGAGTAGGCGAGGTAGAGGCAGGTGAGGAAGGCAGCCTGCAGCTCGGCGGCCGACGCCAGCTCATCCCCGCGCAGCGACTCGCGGCACAGCAGGTACACGAACACCAGGTTGGCGGGCGTAATGAAGGCCTGGTCTTGCCAGCCCTGCAGCAGCAGCGAGCGGTCCACTCCGCGGAACCAGCCCACCAGCTCGCCTGGGCTTAGCTCCTTGAGACGGTAGCAGCGTCGGCACACGAAGTCGCCCAGGCAGCGCAGCAGCTCTCCCGTAGACGCCTGCACGATGACCCGCCGCGGCGAGCCGCCAGGTACCGGCGGCGCCGCCTGCGGGGCTGGGGGCGGCGGCGGCGGCGGTTTCCCTCCTCCGGAGCCTGGAGGTGGGGCGACGGCGCTGCCCCCCGACGGCGGCTCGCAGGTGGTGGCGGCCGCGGGCACGGTGGGCACGGGCACCGCCAGGGGCTTGGCGGCGCCGCCGCCGTCGGGGGGGTCCCGACCCTTGCGGAGAAGGTTCTCGCGGTTGCGTTGCTGGACCAGGGAGTCGGCGCCGGTGGACGCCGGCTTGGGCGTCACCTTCTTGCTGCCTTTCTTCTTCTTGGCAGACGCGGCCACCAGCCGCTTCCAGGTGAGCGCCGAGATGAGCACGGACGGCCGCTTGAGCCGGCTTTCGCCTTTACCGCCCTTGCCTACTGGCGGCGCCCCGTATCCCCCCAGCGCCTCGTCTCCCGAGGGCGGCGCCTTCTTCTTCTCCTCGGGCAGCCCGCCGGGCCTCCGGCCCTTGGCCGAGGAGGCGGGGGAAAGAGACAGCACCGTGCCCATCCTGCAGAGCGGGGCCGGCGCCCGGGCCCCGGCGGGAACCGCGGGCGGCGCCGCTGCCCGCTGCTGCAGCCCCCGGGGACCCGGAGGTGGGGGCCCAGCCCCGGCCCGGGCGCGGGAACGGGCAGTAGAAGGTGGCTGCTCGGCTGCTCGGCGCCGGCTGCTGAGAGTCTCAGCTGCGCCAGCTGCAGCGTCAGCCCCACCCCTTGGGCCCCGTCTTCGCCGCGCCGCGCCCCGCCTCACGCAGCCAATCCTCGCCTGAGCTGCCCTCCTAACCGGCAGCTCCGCTGCCCAATAGAATCTCGCATGCCAATCTCAAGTCCCGCCCATCCCCCAACTCTGTCTCTGGTCCTTTCCCTTCACGGGAAAGGGGTAAGGAGGAGGAGGTGGCTGGTTCGAGGGCCTCCTCAGGGTCAGAGCCGGTGGGTGGGGTGGGTGGGTGGGGGGCTGCTCCCACCTAGCCCTCCAGGTCCTAGGGCCCCGAGTCAACTTGTTTTGATGCACTGGATCGCGATAGCAGAGATGCCATGGGAACAGCCTCTCCCCCCTTTTGATTATGTGTTGGGGGGCAGCGTGAGGAGTGAGTGCCTTCATCAAGGGGCCCTGGCCCCAGCTGGGTAGCACTGCACCGGCTCGTCCAATCTAGCAGTCGGTTGATTCCCTCTTAGCTCTCCTCCCCTCCATTCCCCCTACAAGGCCACCTGGGAGGGCTGCAGCAGGCACATTCTTGTTCTGCCTGTGATGGGGTGCTGGCTGGGCCCTGGCCTTCCTGAAGGTCACAAACCGACTCCTTACGGGTCCTCACTCTGGGGGGTGGCAAGACGCTCAGATTTGTCCCTGAGGCCACCGTTTGCCGACCTGATTCTCTGCTGCTGAGTCTGTGATGAGAGGCCATGAGCTCTGGTCCCTGGGCCACTGCTCTTGTGCTCTTTGCCCCCTCCCCCAACCCAAATCCCCTGATTCCACACTTGGGTGGATGATGGGTGGTTGGTCCCTGGGAAAAGTCTGGAAATTGGTCTGCCCAGGCTCAGATAGCAGATGGGCCTCCTGTGAGAAGGGAGGCCCAGGAGCGTTGGTCCCACCTCCAGCCCAGCCTGGGTCCAGGCTGAGATGGGTTTTCATTGTTACATGCTCCCTGCCATTCAGGTCCTAGCTGTCCCCGTTCCCAGCTGCACGCCATTAGGCTGGATCCTGCCCATTTCTCTCTGGGTCTGTTCCCTCCTCGGCACCCACAAGGCCTTTGCCCTGGATTTGGTACTCGCTGGGCCTTACCTGCACCTCCTGAGCCCAGCTGGTTCTGGGCTGTTCTATCTGCCTTGTAGGACTGTAGAAGGCAGTCTGGCCTGCTCTCTGGCTCCCCAACACAGGAGGTCTTCTGGTTTCTTAAGTGGGCCTTGGAGGTAGGTGTGGGTTTCATGGGGGAGAGAAGCCTTGGCCTATGGATTCAGAAGAATTCTCAGAATGGCCCTGGAGTCACCTCCATGTTCCTCAGAGACCACCAAGACACCTCCAAGGATGCACTGCTGTCAGGGTTGGTACATATGCATGTGTGTACCTAGTTCATTCCAGAGAAGCTATTCCAGAGTCAGAGGCGCCAGCTCTTCTCAGCTGTCCCACAGGCCCGCCCCTGTGGGGGCCTGTGGTCTAGCTGTATTGATTCCCCACCTCTTTACCACTGTACACCACCATACACAGGCCAGCTTGTACACCTCCCTGACTCAGTGCCCATCTGTACTTTCTCAGTGGGGTCTCTCCTGCTCCCTTAGATTTGATCTTTATTCTCTCACAGCTCAAGCTGACCTGCCCAACCTCTCATTCTCCCTATAGTTACAGAAGAATGTTCCCTCTTTTCAGCTTCTGTAATTGGCCCTACTTCCTCCTACAAGGCTTTCTGAGTCAGCCTTTATCTGGCACCCAAGCAAGAGCTGGCTCACCAGTAGTTAAGGACAGGCCCCATAGAGACTGAGGTGCACTGGCAGAGATACCGGGCACGTGGATCTGAATGGCACATGGGTCCTCCCAGCTCTGATCCCAAGAGTCCCTCACTGACATAAGGCCTATTGCTCATGTCATTTAGGACAAGAGTCTATGCAGCACCCACAGATGTCACCACCATGGTATCCCCACTCCAGGCCCAGCAGTGACCTCCTGTTGTCCTCTTAGAATTGCGAGTTCCCTCCTCTGCTTTGGGGTCCCCAAACCAGGTACCTTAAAAGACCTTACTGCCTCCTCTCACTCTTCATCTTGCCCTGCCTCAGACCCTCTCTCTTTGGCTGACATGCTCACCACCCTCCTAGTCTGGTTATACCTCTTGAAACTCTGAGCTCCTCTCACTGTGCCAGGACCCTCCCTCAGACCACCAACCTGCCTTTCTCAAGCTCTTGAAATTCCTTCTCTTCCAAGAAGCTTTTTTGGACTGATTGGGAGGGAACTGATGCTCCTTCTAACATCAATCTTTCTAACCTCTTCCCCCGCCAGCAGCAACTGCTACATAACAACTTAGTTAAGAGCTGGGCTCTGAGTTCCTAGTCAAAGATGTGCAAGATGAATATGGATGGAATTTTAAAGGACAAGCAGACAAAATAATAAAAACAAATCCATAAAGAGTGATGGTGTTTCTTTTACAAAAAATGCTGACAGAATTGAGGGAGGAGAGAGGGAGGTTATATCTCTCCAGGGTGGAGGCCAAGAGGGGTAAGCACAGTGAAACCAGAAAGGCGTCATGAGAAGGCAGGCTTTACGGAAGGACAGTGGACCGCCAGGGAATGCCCCAGTTGAGGCCCATCTTTAAGGGAACAGCCCCAGGCAATGCTGCGCAGACTCTTCGGCCCATTGGCTGTTTTTATCTTTTTTTCTGAGAGGTCACAGTCTAGGAGGCAGGAGTTTTAGTCCACAGCTTATAAATTGTATGACTTGGGGAAGTCATTTCAGCTCTCTGGGCCTCCCATTCTTCATACTAAAATGCAGGAATTCTACATATTTTTATTATCAGACCAAAAAAAAAAAGAATATTGAAGAAATAAGATAATATCTTGGGATTGAACTTAAAAATGATTCCTAAAGCCTCTTCCAGTTCTCTGATTCTGATTCTAAATAAAATCTGCCCTAAGAATTCTGTTTCACTTTGTAGCTCCAGCCCTGTCTCGTTCTCCCTAATCTGTTTCTGCCTGATGGGCGCAGTCTCGTGTGCACAGCATCTATGTGAGGCCTGCCCTTCTGCAGTTCTACCCAGGAGATGAAGGGGAGGGGTGCTCAGGCTCTCAGCAACATAAACCTTCCTAGGTCCCTTCAAGCTTTAGGGGGCCTCTGAAAGGTGGTGAGACAAAGGACAGGATGCCAAGATGGCCAAGTTCCAGGGTCCCCCCAGTAAACATCAAGGCCGGAGGTCCTAGAACTCAAGGTCATTGCATCCCATGTCTCCAAGGGACCCCTACAAAGGGGGTGATGATAATGTAGATTCTTAAAACAGCCAGAGTAGAGACTCAGCCTGGGCATCTGAATGCCTGGATCCTGCTGTCCCCCTTCCCTGATTCAGTACTCCCACAAAGGGAGAGGATATGCACCAGCCCTCCCTCCCTCTCTGGAGGACCTTACCCCAGGGGAGCTGGGGTGGGGAGGCAGTGGAGGGAGTAGAATCCCTCCCCAGGCAACAGTGGGGAGTGGAGAAAGGGGCTGAACAGAGAGAAGAGATGAACTTGACAAAGGAGGTGCTGCTAGCTGCCAGAAGGGAGACCCCATGTTCTCACACCTTTCCCTTTCCAGCAGGCCCCTTGCTAGGAGGACTTAATTGAGGAGCCCAAATATAGATTTTTTTTAGGACAGAAAATAGGGTTGATAAGCACAGTTGGGTGTGGTGCTCTGGGACAGGGAGAGAAGGGAGCAATGCTGAGAGGCTGGAGGGCCCGGGATTAAGGGTCAGGGGAGGACAAGGGTGAGCCTGGGGCTCTTTTTCCTTGCCCTAGGCTCTGATTCCTTAATAAAGCCTTGGTCTCCCTTCTGGGTTACTGATGCCAGCCCTCCCACATCCTCATACCTGGATGTTTTCTCCCCATATCTCTGGCTCCTGCTTTTACCCTGCTTTGTTGCCCCCTGTGAACAGTTCTCTCTGCCCAATCCTTCCAGCTTTATTTCTCAATATATATATATACTCTCCAATAGCTTTATTTCTCAGTTCTTCTCCTGCTCCCATCATGCCCCTTTTTTGCCTCCTCCCTTTCACCCCCTACCCCAAGCCACAAGCATCTCTGTCTCTTCCCTGCCCCTGCTGGAGCCCAGCATAGCACTCCAGATGTAGGAGCAGATCAAGGAGGGCGGGGGTGGTGGCTGTTGCTTTTCTAGGATATTCTTAGCCTGTCTGGGGGCTGGAGCTGGAATCAGCGTTTCCATCTCAACCAGGCAGGTGGCTGCAGGAAAGCTGCCACTGCGACTGGGTCTTCATCTACTTGTCTCTTTCCCTGTCTCTGTTGTCCTCTATCTCAATTCCACTCTGTGAGTCCTGCCTTCCCATCTCTGTGCCCTGGGATGGGGGAGGGGTGCCCTCTGCCCTGGCTGGCCCCAGTGAGGTTTGAAAACCCTGTCTTGGAGATTCTTGGGGAAAGAGAAGAGCCTTCGAGAACTCTAGCTCGGATATTCCCTGGATCCTCATAACCTTTGTCTCTGCCCTGCTTTCATTTGCCCCAACAACTCCCTCAGGGTACTCGGTCCCTAAACTCTAGCCATGACCATGAGAGCCTTTCTCATCTTGACTTACAGAAATCACTCAGGGGCCCTGGAGTTCTTTGGGAGCTGCTGCCTGATAGAGGCTGAGACCTGGAGTACAGTCCTCCTTTGGGAGTGAACAAGGGGCTCACTGGCCCAGATTCCTTTGTTAGCAAAGGGAGGGGCCAGGAAGAGATCTGACTCATTCACAAATAGCACAGAAAGTATCTGTCACCTTAAAAAAACACAGTGTGGGCGTTCCTACTGGGTTTTAGAGTCTTGCAGGTCTGGGTTCAAGTCTAGCCCCTCCACTTATGCGCTGAGGCACTTTGGGCAAGTTTCTAAACTCTCCTGAGGTCTATAAAGGTGGACCATCATAGCGTTGCTGTAAGATTTTATTTAATCTCACAATGCTCCACAATGCTTGTATATTACATGTGCATGGCACTTGGTGTTCAAAAAATGTGAGTTATTACAAAATTATACTGTCATCATT